ACCAGGTTGTAGTCCAACAGGTTTATCTGAAATCACAAGCTTTCAAAGCACTGCTCCTTCATCAGCTCCTTCACCTAACAAAGGAGCAGCGCTCCGAAAGCTCGTGATTTCAAATAAACCTGTTGGACTATAACCTGGTGTCATGTGACTTCTGACTGCATTCATTTCAAGAGGGCTAGAATGCAAAAGCAGAAATATACTGCCAAGGTTGTAGAAGGCTCTGCTCAGACTGCATTTAGAATATCAAGAGCAGTTTTGGGTCCCATGTCTAAGGATGTGTTGGCCTTGGAGGCGGTCCAGAAGATTTTGAAAAGAATGATCAGGGGATGAAGGGCTTGTCATATGAGGAGCAGTTAAGGACTCAGGGTCAGTACTCAAAGGAGTTCAGAAGAACAAGGGGAAGCTTACAGAATACTGAGAGACTTGGGTAGAGTGGACCTGGAGAAGATGTTTCCACTAGTAAGACAGACCAAGACCTGAGGGCACAGCCTCAAAGTGAAGGGACAACCTTGTCAAACTGATATGAGGAGGACTTTCTTCAGCCAAAGGATGGTGATTCTACGTAACTCATTGCCACAGAAGGCTGTGGAGGCTCTGTCATTGCGTGTATTTAAAACAGAGATCGATCGGTTCTTGATTAGTAAGTGGATCAAAGGTTACAGGAGAATGGAGTTGAGAATCATATCCACCTTGATTGAATGGCACAGCAGATTCAATGGGCCAAATGGCCTAATTCTGCTCCCATATCTTCTGTCTTATAGTCTAAAATTCATCTGTAAAGAACCAAGTAAATCTGAACTTGTAAGACAGGGTGGTAGGTTGACTGATGGGCCTAAAATTTGAACTGGAGTAGGTTGATTGGAAATGCATTTTAGTAGATAAAACAGTGGATGAAAAATGAGAGACTTTCAAAAAGAGATGAAGAGGGTGCAAGCTAGGTACATATCAATGAGAAATAAATGTGGGGTATCCAAAGCTAGTGTACTCTAGATGAGTAAGGATACTGATGAGGAAATAAGGAAGAAAAAGATGACATATGATGTATATCAGAATTATAATAGCAATAGAAATCAAAAGTATCTCAAATGCAAGAGAGAGACTAAGGCTGAAATAAGGAAGGCTAAGAGGAAGGCATGAGGAAAGGATGCAGGCTGCAGTGAATCAAATAGTAAAATATAGTAATGTAGTAAAAGATTAGTGAAGGATACAGTAGGATCCATAAGGAGAACAAGCAAGGTAAATGGCCCACTGAAACAAAGGGTATGGCAGGTGTAGTAAGTGAATACTTTGCTTCTGTCTTCACCAAATTAGAAGACGTTGATAATGGCCCATTTGAAAACATGGGTGTTGAGCAACTGAGCAATATTAGCAATAGGTAAAGAGGTGCTAAAAAGGCAAGCAGCATTCCAGGTACAGAAATTGTCAGGTCTGGAGGAGGAAGGAAGCAAACTGCAGAGCTGTTGACAGAAATTTTCCAGACATCTCTGAACACAGGATTAGTCCAGAGGTCTGAAGGATTGCAAATGTGATGTTGTTGCTTAAAAAATGGGCAAAGGATAACCCAGGAAACTACAGACAGCAATAGTGGGAAAGCTGATGGAAGCCATAATAGGGGATGGTATAAATTTACATTGAGAAAAAATATGTTAATAGACAGCCAACATGATTTTGGCAAGGGCAGGTCATGTCTGACAAATTTAATTGAGTCCTTTGACAAGGTGACATAAGCAGTGGATGACAGTGCTGTGGATGGTGTACATTTGGACTTTAAGAAGGTATTTGATGTGGTACCACATGGCAGCTTGTTTAGAAAATCAGAACCGTTTGGGATTGATAAGTCCTTGGCAGTATGGAATAGAAGTTGGCCATAAAATTGGAAAGAGAGGGTAGGTAGATGGGCATTTCTCAGATCGGAGACAAGTTGAAAGTGGCGTTCCCCAGAGATCGGTGTTGGGACTCTTGCTTTTTCTGATTTGTAAAAATGATTTGTATACGGGAGAGTAAAAATTGCCAAATTTTCACATGATACTAAGCTAGGGAGAATAGTGAATTGCGAGGATGATGCTAAATGATTTCACAGGAACATGGGCAAGTTGGCCAAATGGACAGACACTTGGCAGATGAATTTCAATGCAGAGAAATGTGAGGTAATGCATTTTAGTAGAATAAACATAGAGAAACAATACAGGCTCAATAGTATAAACTTGAAGAGAGTTCAGGAACAGACGGACCTCAGGGTTCAAGTGCATAATTCTCAGGTGGCCAGGCAAGTTGAAACAGTTGTTAAGACTTATGGGATCCTTGGGTTTACAAATAGAGGCATAGAGTATAAAAGCAAGGAAGCGATGCTACACCTCAACAAATCAGTGCTCAGACCATGTTTGGAGTAGTGTTCAATTCTGCTACCTTATTTAAGAAAGGATATTAAAGCCCAGGAGGCAGTGCTCAGGAGATTTGCTGGAATGATACCAGGATTGAGGCATTTTAGATACAAGAAAAAAATGACAGAAATTGGGCTTATTCTTCTTGCAGCAGAGAAGATTAAGAGGTGAGGGTTAGGGTTAGGGTTACTGAAGTGCTCAAAATTATGAACAATTGGACAGAGTAAAGAAGGATGTTCAGTTTTCACTAACCAGTATGTCTGTAACTTGGAGTCATAATTTCAAGGTTGTCAGCAAGACAGCTAGACGTAAAATGAGAAGAAACTTCTTTTGACAGAGTTGTTAGGATTTCGAATGCACTGTCTCTGAGAGTGGTAGACACAGAATCCATAGAAGGTTTTGAAAGAGGAGTTGGTATATATTTAAAAGTGTTTAAAGGGCTACAGAGACAGGGTTGGAGAAGGGACCAGCTAGGTAGCTCTTTTGGGAGCCAATACAGACACAATGGGCTGAAAGGTCAACTTCTGAACTGTACATTTCTACGATTCTTTGATTGTATGAAATTAGTGAACCTATACAGAAAAGCAAATCTGGTTGTGGATGTGGGATTAGTGCCAAATGCAGTACACTGTGGTATTGCAAATATTACTGAATAGAGTTCTGCCAATCATCACTATTATTTTATTTCCTCATTATACCTGCAAACAAACTATTTTCTAAAATTAAAGAAAATCTATGAACATTTTGGTAGTTCTGTTCAAGCTCTGAGGGTTTAATTTGCTGACAGAACTCAAGTTAATATTTGTTTTATTACATATAATAAAAGGAGAAACACAGGTTATCAGCATGTTTTATTTTACTTGTTTTATTATACATATACTATTAAACCTTATTTAGAAATGCAGCAAAATAATTGACAAACAGCCCAAAATGGTTCTCTAACTAGAAGTACAACTTTCTTCTCATTTTTGACCCCAAGCTTTTGTCCAGATATCCAATCCTTCAAAGATTGCCTATTTCCACCTCATCATATTGCTTAGAACTGCCCCTGCCTGACTTATCTGCTGTTAGAGCCCTCATTCATGTCTTTGGTATCTCTGGACTTCATTATTCTAATTAATCTTTGGCCAATATCTCACAGTCTACCCTTTAAAATCTGAGATAATCCAAAACTCTATCACTTGTTTCGGAATTTGCACCACATCCCATTCATCTAATACCCGTTCTCATAGATCTACACTGAATCCCAGTTACGTAAAGTCAATTAAAAGTTAGAATCATTGAGCTCAAGACATGAGCTCAATTCTCTTGCCAAAACTGCTGAGTTTTTAATTTATGCTTTATTTCAGATTTCCAGCAACTGCAGTATTTTCCCTTTATTAAAATCACATACTTGTTTTCAAATCTCACACAGTCTCAACTTCCCCTATATCCATGAAATTCACCAGCCCACACAATCCTGAAATATGTCTGTGCTTTTCCCAATTCTGGCTTTTTAATCATCTCCAGTTCAATCACTGGTAATTGAAGGCATGTGGTCAAAGGCCTCAGCTTTGAAATCTCTTTCTTAATCCTTTCCACATTTCTGACTGCCTGCTTTAAGGTGCTCCTTAATATTTCTCTTCCAGTTTCAGACCAATTAAGCAAATATATCCTTACGTGGGCCAGTTAAAATTGTTTTATAATGCAATGAAGCACTACAGAACATTTATACTATACCACAGAACTATAATGGTGTTCCTTAAGTACATGTTGCTATTATTACAATATTCTTAACAGTACAGGACAGTATGCCATGACATGTTCCAAAACAAACTTTGTTTCCTTCTTGCAACATGATAGTTCACTATAAAATACATGAGAATAGAGCATTAGGATAAACAGTTAGCTTACCCATTGGTGATCAAACAGCAAAATGTTTATTTTTAAATATTGTAACATAAAAGTGCCACTCTTGATAATCTTGGATTAAAGGATGTGATGTAATTTTTCCTAGTAATATGTTTAGAAATGTAATAACTACAGACACAAAAACAACTTGCTGGAAAAGCTCAACAGGTCTGGTGGCATCTGTGGACAAACGGAATTAATCGTTCCGGGTCCAGTGATCCTTCCTCAGAACGCACCACAGATGCTGCCAGACCTGCTGAGCTTTTCCAGCAATTTCTGTTTTTGTTTCTGATTGATTTCCAGCATCCGCAGTTCTTTCGGTTTTTAATTATGTAATAATTACAACACATATTATCCTGTCAACGTGGAATGTAGCAGCAAAAGTAAAACAAAAAGTTTTCAGCAAATGAACGGGTGAACGTGCATTTTTAAATTTTCCCAGTTTTGATGAACGGCCATAGGCCTGTAAAGGTAACCTATTTCCATCTCCATAGCTGCTACCGTAACCGCTGAGTAGTTTTTCATTCATGTTCCATTTCATTGTCAGACCTCAACAATATGCCGTATTTTGCTTTGTGAAATGATATTAACCTATTCAGTCTCAACATCATTAAGTAATTTTATAAACTTCCACGGTCAAGGACAAGAGAACGAACAACTGAACCTTTTTCCCACTTTGATATAAAGCTCTACCATGAGGAGACCTGAAAATTTGAATTGAAAACATACCCAGGACCAGGATGGTTTCATCACTCCGAATCTCCTCCTTCAGCAAATGCTCAAAGCGTGAAAACGCACCAAACCACTCATAGGTCTCCTCGTGGTGATAGCGTTCATCCCAGTAATTCCGATCCTTGTATCGCGAATTACTACTTGGCAAATTATCCATTTTCTAAACAATCTTCAGCGGAGTTAAAGGGGCATTCAGCATTAATCTCTTAACACAAGTCTGGCCTCAATTCAAATCCTTTCTCTACGAACGCCAACCTCTCCACAACTTAATGAGTCCCTTTCTCTTACTTTGCTAGCCCAGACTATGTTGGCCTCTTTTCCGTGGCAGTGAAGCGTTCTAACAACGGTTTTGTCTAATTCCTGTTTCCCTGCTGACGCTGTGTCTGGCCCTTTTCTCACCTTCATTTGAACTCAGTTTGGCACTCATTCCTATCCTTCCTGATCGAATCAGACCAGATCCCACTCCTTTCGGTCAATTATTACAGACCCCATCCACCTCTGTAGTACACATCGGACTGCATTAGGCATCCCCCCGCCTCCCCAAATCTTGTTATTCTAAATTAGGTCTCCTCCTTCCAAGTCAGGTTGAATCAGACTCCTCTTGTTCCTGTTCTTCAGTTAGTATTGTACAGACCCCGCTAGTTCTTCGAGGTCAAGGCTGTATTTTAGTCTCCTGCCATCCTGGGACAGTCGGCATCAATTTTATTTTGTTATAAAATGGGTTACTGCCTCACAGAGATGGCTGTTCCCTCCCGCCCGGGGGTCTCTGTTATATTTCTAAAGCTGAGTTGCCCTCTCTCCTGTAATGGCCCAGATCACAGTCACATTGACCCACCCTCTCCCTCCTCCTGCGCCCGTCTCCACAAAAAGGGGGAAAACCCACCCTCCTCTACAGAACCGGTTCGATTTTTGTTCTCACTCCTTAACTTTATTGTGGTTATATCTTGGAAAGGTTTGTGGGGAGGGGGAAGAGGGCGTTAAAAGGCGGTCGGAAACAACAATCGTTTCGAGCTCGAGCTGAAACTCAAACCACGTTCACAGGGAGAAGCACTTCCCCACCCCATCTTATCCTGCAGCACTTTCTTTCTAAACTATATACATATATCTAAACAGAACAGACTCCGAAAGACGGGCAAGATGGAAACGTTGACAGTGATGGAGTGAGACTCCCCCGGCGCGTGGCTGGGAGACGGCGGTTTGTGTCGGAAGTGGAGGGAAAAGTGTTTCCGGGTGGGGACGGGGTGAGAGGTGAAAGGGCAAAGGCCGCCGCCAGCCGGTGTGGAGGATGTTGAAGGCTGCCAGCTGGAAGGCCAAGGCCCGCACGGCTCAGCCGGCCCGAGCCCGCGGCCTCACCTACTTGGGGACGCTATGGCAGGAGAAGCGCTGGCTCCTGTTCAAGCCGCAGTACACGCTGCCGGTGGCCGCCTGCCTATGGTTGGCTGAGATCTGTGTAAACCTCTGGGTCATCCGCAAAGTGCCCTGTGAGTACGCGATGTTTCAGGCAGGAGGCCATCACCGAGAACTCCATTAAAATCCAAACGCCCCAAAAACATAATACACTAGCTGGTGTAGGTGTCACTGTCTTCAAAAGTTTATTGAGATCCTTCGGATTTATGCACAGTCTGATTTCTAGCAGTTTATGCAGCTACCACGCTGCTAATCCAGACTGTAGGAGTTGTCACTTTCTTGAGTACTCCCTTCTTTGCCAGCTCACCCGTTTTGGTTTTTCAGCCTGGACTTGTGGACAGAAGGAATATTCCTCGGCTAATGCTGAATGGTCTGCTTCTCTTTTCCAGTGAAGAATGATGTTCATGCCCTCAACCACATCTCGCGTTTCCTACACCTCTGCCCTCATATCCCCTTCCCCCCACCAATAAAAATAAAGACAGAATCCCTCTTGTCCTTACATATCACCCCAACAACCTCTGCATTCCAGCGTATCATTCTATGCCACTTCCACCACCTACAATCTGACCCCACAACCAAAGAGATATTTCCCTCCTTACCCCTATCTGCCTTTCGTAGGGACCGCTCTTTGTGTTTCCCTCATCCACTCCCCACTAACCCTAGCACCTTTCCCTGCAACTGCAGGAAGTGCTACACCTGCCCATACACTTCCCTTCTCACCTTCATTCAAGGCCCAAAACAAGCCTTCTATATCAGATAGGCGTTCACCTGCACATCCGTCAACTTGGTCTACTGTATCTGCTGCTCCCGATATGGCCTCCTATACCAGTGAGGTGAGACCAAGTGTAGACTTGGAGACCATTTCATAGAGCATCTGCACTCTATGTACGACAAACAACAACACCTTCCGGTCGCCAAACCACCCCCGCAGTGACATATCCGTCCTGGGCCTCCTCCAGTGTCACAAATGACACCTTCGGCAAACTGGAAGAGCAGCACCTCGTATTCCACCTCGGGAGCCTACAGCCTGATGGCCTAAACATGGAATTCACCAGTTTTAAAATCTCCCCACCCCTAGCATCATCCCATGCCCAAGCCTCCCTCTCATCCTTGACCTGACACAACCTGTCCATCTTCTCTCCCACCTATCTATCCCACTGACCAAACCCCATCACTCCCTACCTGCACTCACCTATCACCATCCCACCTCTTGTATATTTATTTCCCAGCTCGCTTCCTCCTCCCCGTTTCCGAACAAAGGTCCTGACCCAAAACGTCAACTTTCCTGCTCCTCTGATGCTGCCTGGCCTGTGTTCCTCCAGCTCCATGCTGTGTTGTCTCTGACTCCAGCATCTGCAGTTCTTGCTATCTCCAAAAGTATCTTTGTAGTCTTTTAGGATTTAATCTAGAGTTATTGGCTTAGTGGGCTGTTAAATGGTTCAAATCTTTTCAGACACTTGTATGTCAGAGTACCAATGCAAGCTTTAGACTTCTTTAGTTAAGCTGAGTGAACTTTCTTCACATCTACTATCTTGAACTTCACATCTTCATTATTCCTTTTGTTTTGGGTTCTTGGCTTCAGTTCTCCTCCTGGGATGAGAATAGTTCCATCATCCAGCCTCAACCTTACTTTCGAGGGTTTCATTTTCAGGTCATTAGTCTTGAGCTAATCCATACAGGTCTGCAAAACCCATGCTGTTGCATGCGTCTATCTGGCACTTCATATTCACTCAGTGCTGTCCTTCTGGAGTCGTCATTTCTAAATCTCTCAACCAATTAACCTTGCGACCTGGCAGTGCCTATTTGTTTTATGGTATAGGATGATTCTTGAGAATGATTGGCTGACATCTCTGCTGCAGCTATCTTTATAGTCTTGCATTGTTTCTTTCTAACTGAACACTTAAATGCAAAATGATTCAGCTTCTTGCAGTCAGAGCAATGCTTTCCCCATTCTGAACGTGCATTCTTTACTTTTGTGTAATTTCCTCTGCAATATTTACATCCTGCCTTCTGGCCTTGACCTTTTTTTTTATTTTTAACAATGTTAACACAATTCTGACCCAGAAAAGAAACAATTTAAAATGTGCAGTCTTTTAATCTGTTATGGCGATGCAATGGCCTAATGGTATTATTGCTAGCCTATTAATACAGACACCCGGGTAATATTTCAGGGACTGAGGAAGATGGTGGTATTTGAATCCAATAAAAATATGGAACTACAGTCAAGTAATAACCATGAAACCATTGCTTATTGTTGGAAAAAACAAGGTCGTCACAATGCTCTTTACTGGTTGGTTCCAGAACAAGAAAGCATAATCTCACAACTAGATTTGGTAGAACCCAAATTGTGCATCAGTGAGCAGGTGTATGCAGCCTGAAGACTTTTTCCATCACTTTACTGATTATAGAGAGTAGACTGATGAGGCAATAATTGGGTTGGATTTGGTCCTGCTTTTTATGTGCAGAACATATCTGGATAATTTTCCACTTTGTAGGGTAGGTGCCAATGTTTTAGCTTATTGTCAACCTATAAAATGTTTATCAGCCTATAAAATGTTAATCAACCTGACCTTGAAAGCAGTGTTCCCTCTAATTTTTTTTCTATTGGCTGCACGGGCAGTGATTTCCAGAATCACAGCACAGCTTAGAGAAGATGTTGTTTGAAAGTGTAAACAATGTTTTGAGCCATTAGAACCTCTTCACATTGTGCAAATAAACATTGAGCTACTGTCAAAAGAGATCACAAAAAACCTTATTGGAACAACATAAAGATATCAATCAGCAAAGTTTTCACTTCGTGCACTTGTGTCAACAAGTGACGCTTTTTACAAAAGCTTCAAATTACCTTGCTTACAAAAATATGACCCTAAATATTTCCTGCATTTGCAGACACAGAAATTGACTGGAGAGCTTATATGGATGAAGTGGAAGGTGTGATTAATGGAACATATGATTACACACAGTTGAAAGGCGACACAGGACCTCTTGTGTAAGTATTGAGCAAGGAATTCAACATAACAGTTACTTGACTGCTCAAACAACAGTCCACACTCATTGATTTCTGAATGGTGTGTATTATTGCAAGGCTTTTCTTTCCCAATATATAAATGTTATTAAATTTCTTTCATACGTTTTGAATATCTTTTCTTCAAACCCCATCCCACTGATAAATGCACTCCTGCTTGTTTCTCCTGTGAAAAGCTAAAAACCCCTCTGCCAGCCATAATCCAGAATCAGCTACTTGACGACATATTTGAATCAGAATGATTGGGCACCTTACTTATCCTGTGGGAAAATTGTCTTGCTGCTACTTGGCAACCTTCCATGTTGCACAGAGGATACCAGGAGTTCCCTTAATGACTGATAAACCGAGGCCCGAGTCACACCAGTTATTAACAGTGATACATTTAGAAGAGTGCCTGGCAAGAATGCTGACCTAAGGAAGGAGGCGCATGTCTAGTTAGGAAAATAACTGCAGGTGATAGAACTGCTGCCATCTACTTCTGGGTTGCAATGGAGAGAGTAATTTTGCAATATATTGGATCACATTACCAGCAGGTATTTTTACGTAGGAACTTCAGTCTTTTTTTTCACTTTTGCCTTGGAGAGTACATTCAGAATTTCAACCTTTTTTTTCTTTGAAATTTCATGAGTGACTTTGCCTTTGGCTATATAAATAAGTTTATTTTCTTGTTAGTGTGGAAATCTAGCATTCCTATTGATGTTTCAGTATGTTTTTGAGTCTTCCTATATTCCTAATAACTGTTAGAGTAACTTTGAGACTGTTGCTTTTCTCGTCGCAAGGAGGGTAAACTCTGAATAAGGTATGGTCCTATAAATACCAATAGCCTGAGTAGCCGTTCTTTTAGTGTGACCCCAAGCAGTCAGTATCCACTAGAAGCTTGAGGTGCCGGTGTTATCAAAGCTGCAGTTGCTTATTCTCTACATTGGTATTTTATAGCAGTGACAATATATTGGTGAGGAGAGGTAACTACTGTTTCTCAGCTCCTGAAAGGTGGTCAGTTTTGGTGACCTACTTTTACCGTAGTTAAAGTCAGTTACCTGCTTGTGAGCACAATGGGAGTATTTCCATCCAGTTGTTAGAACAATATTTGAATGCATTGTCTTTGTTACATGGTCCTGCTAAAGATGCAAATAATCAAATATGCATGTATGAATGCAGAACAGCACATGTAATTGTAGAAACTCTCACATTAACCCATTGGTTATTAATACACCTTGCTTTGCTCTGCACAGTTATCCCGCTGGATTTGTTTATATCTTTGCGGTGCTATATTACATCACAGATCATGGAGTAAACATCCACCTTGGACAGTACATTTTTGCTATCTTCTACCTCATTACCCTGCTGCTGGTCTTCAGGATTTATAATCATACAAAAAAGGTGAGTAGCACATAGGAAGTGTGTAATATAGAAAGAACCATATCTTTTTAATGCAAATATTTGATCAATTTAGTGTCTGTGGAGAGAAAACACAGTTAACATTTCAAACTCCATTCTGAAGAAGGGTCAGTGGACTCAAAATATAATCTCTGTTTTCTCTACGTTGATGCTGCCAGACCTGAGTTTCTACTGCATTTGCTGTTTTGGTTTCCAATTTCCGGCATACACAATTCTCTCTTTTATTTTGATCAACTTAGCTGCTGTATTGGCATATGCATACCATGCTACGAAAGTACTCATTTAAAAGAAAATTGGTCCAGAAGTCTGATAGAATGATGTTTGTGTACACCTAAACAGTTCATAAACGCCAATCTATGTGA